AAGCAAGAGAATGAGCCACGTAGATAGGGAGCTTGCAAATGCTGGGAGGTACATGGATGACTCAGCACCATTGAGGTGTGTGACTGAGGGCAGAGGCAGATAGGAGCCTCAGAACGGATGGACATGTTGCATGTTCCAAGTGCAAGGAGAGATGGGGGCAGATGGCAGACTTGGGGTATATAAGGCAAATAGCACACAGCATGTTGGGCATGAAGCTACACTGTTAGCAGAGGAGTGAGGGCTGCATGTGGGACGCCAGAGCAATCTTGTTCTCTGTCCCACAGATGGAGATGGGCTTTGTGAACTGGTGGTGGGCTACACGGACCGTGTGGTACGGGCTTTCCGCTGGGAAGAGCTGGGTGAGGGCCCTGAACACCTGACAGGGCAGCTGATATCCCTCAAGAAATGGACACTGGAGGGTCAGGTAAGAGACTGAGTTCAGGGACCCAGGGACCCAGGGGCTGGGAGGAAGGCCTCCTGGGGGAGCCCATGTGAAGAGTCCTAGGACAGGGCCAGGTAAGAAAAGTCACCTTATTGAGAGAGATCATTGCTGACCAAGGTCTTAGGGGAAATTGCTGGTAACAGGCAAAGAGGAAGGAACTTGAGGCTAAGAATGAGGGGTGTGGTGTAGGCTATGTGAAGATCTGGGTTCTACTTGGGGCATGTGTAGGGGAAAGCAGATAGTTACGGCAGAGGATAGTGCAATCCAGGAGTCCTCTGAGCTTCAGAGTCCTGCTACTACCCTCAAAGTCTGGAGGAACCCTACCCTACCTCTCTCCCCTGTTCTCTGCAGGGTACCACCTTCTCTCTCCATCCCCCTATTTCCTGGTACAGGTGGACAGCCTCTCAGTGACTCCAGGGCCTTTGGGTGTTCCTGAACTGATGGTTTCTCAGCCAGGCTGTGCTTATGCAATTCTACTGTGTACCTGGAACACGGACACTACGTCTCCTCCTGCCTTTGAGGGAGCCACAGAGGGCAGTAGGTAAGGGGGTAGAAGCCTACAGAGGGACATGGAAGCAAAATGGGCTCCTAGGTGGCACATGTTAGTGACATGGGTCTATAGTTGACCACTCCAACTAGGTCCCAACCCAAGCACCTCTGCCCCATTGAGGAAGATTATTTTGGGGCCTAAGGATTCCTGGCCTTTAACCTGAAAGATCTGCTGAGATTCCAATCTGGCATGCCCATCCTCTGTATTCTATTTACCCCCTGGGCCAGATGGGGTCAGAGATAGGTTCCAAGCTGATTCAAATTCTAAAAGCTCTTGGAGGGATAGTGGCCACTAAGAGCTTGAAGAACTCAGCCCCCTTAGCCCCCACCCTCCTGCCCACAGGGAGACCCCAGCTGCCCGAGATGTGGTATTACATCAGACGTCTGGCCGGATCCACAACAAGAATGTCTCTACTCACCTAATTGGCAACATCAAACAAGGTGAAGATGGGGTGGGGACAAAGGAGGGAGCTGAAGGCTACCATCAGCTCTGGGGGAGAGCAGAGCCAGGGCTTTCTCTCTTATCTAGTCCCTTCCCTTGCTGCCATTGGCTGCCCCTCTTCCCATCACATGTTTTTCTGGTCCTACCCTTTCTGGTCCTACCCATGTTTTTCTGCCCTACCCTTCACATGTTTTTCTGGTCCTTCTGTCCTGCCCGTAGGCCATGGCCCTGAGAGTGGTGGCTCTGGCCTCTTTGCTCTGTGCACTCTGGATGGTGAGTAGTGCTGGGATGAGGTGGGAGGGCTGTATGCCTGTAGGGTCTGCTCAGGGCCTGTGCCACCCATCTCCAGCCTGCATCTGCCCCCACAGGGACACTGAAGCTCATGGAGGAAGCAGATAAGCTCCTGTGGTCAGTGCAGGTGGATCATCAGCTTTTTGCCCTGGAGAAATTAGATGTTACGGTGAGTGAAAAACCTGGTGGAACAGAGCATTCTTGCCTTCTTCACATGAAGAGGAAAGATTTAAAATAGCCATTCACATCCCAGTTAACTCCCTCCCAGCCTAATTTATTTTACATCTTTATAGAGGTGCAGACTAAGAGGAAACAATTCACTTCAGATGGATTTAGACTACCTGAACTTGTTTCCTCTTTGCTCTGAAGCATTTAACACTATCCTATGCTGATGGAAAATCTATCATTTCCCTACTTTTCAGTAGATGTAATACCACCCCTAACCCCCCAGGAAAAATGAGTCACTATTAGAATCTAGAAGTGAGTTGTCCAATTCTGGATGTATGTTTTGTAGTTTTTTTCTTTTCCATATGTGAAAAAGAAAACATCTGTTTAATAGCATCTGTTTAAAAACATCTGTTTAATAGCACTGTGGCCTGTGGATCAGCAGAAAGGGGCTACCCTTTATATAGCCATCATGCATGCTGGATGATTTAGGAGAAGAGGCATGAGGCTTTGAAGTCCGGTAGAACAGGCTGGGTTTGAGTCCTTATTCTGCTGCCTCCTAGCTGAGGGTCCTTGGATGAATAACTTCATTTCTGGAAGCTGAAGTTTCCTCATGAGATTGGGAATGATAATGCCACTGTCCAGAAGTGGATGTGAGCATTGTGGGCAGTGGCTCATTGATAGCCCTTTTTGGTGCCTACCGTGTGGGGAAAGTTCTTCCCCAACTCGCAGTTTCTCCATCAAAGGCATGCACAGCTCTTTTATATTTCATCTGGCTTCTGTCATCAGGTCTCTTCTAAAACAACTCCCTGCCTCTCCTACAGCCTTGTCTCTGGCCTTCTTTCTCAGGGCAATGGACACGAGGAGGTAGTTGCATGTGCCTGGGATGGACAGACATATATTATTGATCACAACCGCACTGTCGTCCGCTTCCAAGTGGATGAAAATATCCGTGCCTTCTGTGCAGGTAGGACCCCCCTGCTCCTAGGTACCCTCTCTTATCGCACTTCATTTAGATAAGTGTGTTAGATATGCTAGATAAAGATTTGCCTTTCAGTCTTCATGAACTAATGGGTTCTTCAGCTCTTTCCTTGGAGCATAATGTGTGGGTACTCCAGTGCTACTTGATAAGAGGAAATCAAAGGCGGTGAGGTCTCCATCTCTGAAGATTTTAAAGGATGGAATGAGTTTTTATCTATCTATCTGTCTGGGATATATGAAGACATCAGGAAGTTCTTTTCTATCTGAGCATGCTAGAATTCTGAAGAAAATGCTCCCAGAGGTTTTCATTAGTTCCAATTCAGGGACCTTGGAAGATAGCACCAACTCTTCGGGTGACTAGAGGATGTGTTTGGTTATTAAAACTGAGAAAAGAACCAAGCAGTGCTCTGGAGTGCTTACTCTGGTGACCTGAAGGTTAATCCCTTTGTTTTGGAAGAAGGGACTGAAACCTCAAAGAAGCCTTACTTTTTGACCACGTTGTGCTAATCTTCCCCTTGGACTGGGAAGATTGTCTCTTGTTACTCCAAGGATATCACTGAGATGGGAAAATTAAGAAATACCACATTTTTGGATGCTATTTTGCCTAGTTTTTGATACTATGGTTTGGGCCAGACATTTTTGTCTTATTTTGATGTACTTGTCCTATTTTACTGAGTTCTCAACAAAGGAAGAGTTAGAAAGAAGGCCTTCCGTTCTTTGCCTCACATCAGTGGGAGGGTTGAAAGTGCTGACTCTGAGATCTGAGTCTTGCTTTCTGATTGCCCACAACTGGGACTGGAATTTCTTTTTTTTTTGAGACAGTCTCAAGCTGTCTCCCTGGGTAGATTTTTTTTTTAGAGACAAAGTCTCACTTTATTGCCCTTGGTAGAGTACTGTGCTGTCACAGCTCACAGCAACCTTCAACTCCTGGGTTTAGGCGATTCTCTTGCCTCAGCCTTGCAAGTAGCTGGGACTACAGGCGCCTACCACAATGCCCAGCTTGTCCCCCTGGGTAGAGTACCATGGCATCACAGCTCACAGCAACCTCAAATTCTTGGGCTTAAGCGATTCTCTTGCCTCAGCCTCCCAAGTAGCTGGGACTACAGGCGCCTGCCACAAAGCCGGCTATTTTTTTTATAGTTGTCATTGTTGTTTTGGCAGGCCTGGGCTGGATTCAAACCCGCCAGCTCCGGTGTATGTGGCTGGTACCCTAGCCGCTGAGCTATAGGCGCCAAGCCTGGGACTGGAACTTCTTGACCTTTGTCTCATCACCCACATCTTCCAGGCCTGTATGCCTGCAAAGAAGGCCGCAACAGCCCCTGCCTTGTGTACGTCACGTTCAACCAGAAGATCTATGTGTACTGGGAGGTGCAGCTGGAGCGGATGGAGTCCACTAACCTGCTGAAAGTGCTAGAGGCTGAGCCAGATTACTGTAGCCTGCTGCAGGAGCTGGGCGTGGGTGAGTACCAGGCAATCCAGGGGCCTGGGTGCCCAGGAAACCCCAGCCTTTTACCTGCCCCTTTCTGGCTTTCAGATCCTGACGACCTCCCTGCAGTCCGTGCCCTGCTTCACCAAACCCTCTACCACCCAGGCCAGCCAGCACAGTATGCTCCCTCAAGCCTTCAGGATCCTACCTAGCTGGACCTGCCCTCATGACTGGTGAAGGACTCGTCTGAGCCCCACTCTACCCCCCCAACAGTGTCCATGGTTTTGGCAAGATGGGGGAGACATATCAAAGAGGAGCAAGATTTGACTCTGGGCATAAAAGATAGTGGCAACCCTAAGGTGACTACAAACTATAGACCCTGCAGTCTTTTTGGTGAAAGAAGGCACAGATTGACCCGCTGCCCATTTCCTCACGGACCTCACCTGTCACATATCAGCAGGGTCATAGGACCCTGGCCTTGCTCCAAATTATCTGAGGTGTGCTATCCCCTCTCCCAAGCTTCCCAGTCTCACTGTGTAGAAAATGTTGTGAGGAGGGAGTTCAAATCTTTTGCATGGCCCCAACACCCTAAAGAAATCAGGCTTTGGGCTTAGGGTAGCAGTGGAGGTAAGGTCTCCATCCACCCTAAGCTCCATCTTTCCTGACACAACTCCAAGTCATTGACATCAATAATAATTACAGGAATGAGGGCCAGGCATGGTGGCTTACACCTGTAATCCTAGAACTCTGGGAGGCCGAGGCAGGTGTATTGCCTGAGCTCAGGTGTTTGAGACCAGCCTGAGCAAGAGCAAGACCCTGTCTCTAAAACTAGCCGGAAGTGCCTATAGTCCCAGCTTGGTAGGATGAGGCAAAAGAATCACTTGAGCCCAAGAATTTGAGGTTGCTGTGAGCTGTGATAGCACAGCACTCTATTCTAGGGCAACAGAGTGAGACTCTGTCTCAAAAAACCAAAACAAAACAAAAATAATTACAGGAATGGCACACTCCTTGTTTTAAGGAATCTTTCAGGACATTTTACAGTCTGGTTTTATGTTCCTAGAAACCCTGAGATGATTTTCCTCTATTTTCTGAAGCAGCTGGGTCAGTGCTTTCTCATGTCTAGGTGTCTTCAAGTATGCAGCTTCACAGGCCTTACTGTCTATAAGACAGTAGACATCTAAAATCTGCTGCAGGTTCAGAATTGTATCATGGGCCATTTATGTTCTATCTGCTCTTGATTCTCTGTGCTCTAAATCAATGTTTTGCAAATTGTAGGTTGCAATCTTTTGGTGGGTTCTGGCCAGCATTTTTGAAATAAGAACAGAATAATGTAAAATAGAAAATAACAGAGTACATTGCTCACAGTATAGGTAAGTATTATTTTGTTGTAATTGTACATGTGTGTATGTGCTGAGTATAATGCAGTGTTATTTCCTACTGTATTATATCCAATTATACTGGCCCAAATCAGATAAGTCAACCTGGGGAAGGGCCTACATTCCCATTTCCTTTCTTTAAGGGAATAAGGGCAGAGATAAGACTGAGTTCCTAAAAGATAGGGAGGAAGACCAGAGACAGACATCAGCATAGAGAAGTCAGGGTTTATTCCAAAGGAGAAGCCGCTGAGTTGAGGGCCTGCCATGGGGTTCAGGGTCTGCAGTTATAGAAGCAGCAAGTGGCAGACAAAGAGAGGGACACAGTGAGACCCAGGAAAGTGAAGGGACAGGAAACGAGCCCTTTGGGATTTGAGACCAGGTACTATGGCACCCATGATGAATAAGCCCCTCTCCTTTCTTTTCTGAGAACTGAGGGAATCTGCTGATAAAGGTAAGACCAGGTGTCATAAGGCAGCTCCTTGCATCCTGGTTCTTCTCTAATCCAGTTTATTCCAGGCTCAACATTCTGTTCCCAATCCAAGGGCCCTCATTCCTTGGTTCAGGTTAGTTATAACGCTGTCTTTCTTTACCTATAATTTGTGATTTGAGAGACTCAAACCAGCCAAAAAGACACTCAGGAATCTGGCTTCTTTTTTTTTTTTTTTTTTTTTTGAGACAGAGCCTCAAGCTGTCCCCCTGGGCAGAGTGCCGTGGCATTACAGCTCACAGCAACCTCCAACT